GAAAAAGCAAGGAGTAAGTAGCGCTGTGGCTCAAGTGGTACAACGCTAGCCTTGAGCTGAAGAGCTGAGGGACAGCGCCCAGGCCCAGAGTTCAGACTCTAGGACCGACAAAAAAAAAAATTATACATATACGATATAATATATATATATATATATATATTTGAAAAGTAACTCAGTATGTAAGAACAGTTAAGTATTTTGATAGGATGGAATCCATGGAGCTTGGGAAAAGGATGCTGAACGACATGGAAATCACTGAGACTACTGCTCGACAAATACCCACAACACTTAGTCCTAAACCCCCCAGCACTTACCCTGTAGAACCACCCAGCCTGTCTCACAGCAATACTTACAGGTGCTACTATTTTTCCTGTCTGACCGACTTGCATGTCATTGGGGACAAAGCCAGCATCCACAGCAGCACGGGAGGCTCCAACTACGGGAACAAAATTGTCATTCTTTTACAACTGTTATTCAACTACAGGCTCTTCACTGATGAGAAATTGCAGACCAAGACAGTAACACAGTGCAATTGGAAATATTTTGTGTGAAGAACTTGGGTCAAAGTAGTAGAGAGCTAGCCTTGAATGAAAAAGCTCAGGGATAGCACCCAGACCCTAAGTTCAAAGCCCACGACCAACAAAAAGAGGGAATATCTTGCTATTAAAGAAAAAGTAACTTACCTGCAGCATGTAGCTGATCTGCCAAGTCATATAACAACTTAAAATTCTCTCCACTCTTCAAACCCCGACCTTGTTAGAGAGAAGAGAGAGAGAGAGAGAGAGAGAGAAACTAAATGTCATCTCCAGTCTATAAAACTTTTTGCTCTTTTTCTTTTTGCCGGTCTGGGGCTTGAACTCAGGGCCTGGGCACTGTCTCCAAGCTTCTTGTGCTCAAGGCTAGCACTCTACCACTTGAGCTACAGAGCCACTTACAGATTTTTGATTAATTACACATAAGAGTCTCATGAGATTATGGCTTAGTGGCAAGAGTGCTTGCCTAGCATACTTGAGTCCTCAGATTCAATTCCTCAGTATCACATAAACAAATAATATTAATAATAACAATAATGATAATAATAAAGGAGTCTCGTAGACTTTCTTTCCCAGGCTGACTGACTCTGAACCATGATTCTCAGATCTCAGCCTCCTGAGTAGCTAGGATTACAGCCATCCACACTGGCTAAAACTTTTGTGCTTTTGTATAGCTGAATGCATCTTCCAGTTACACAGCTGCCATATTCAGATCCCCAGCTCTGCTATAAAATTTTCTCTGAAGCCGAGTGCCAATGGCTCATGCTTATGCCTGTATTCCTACTCAGGAGGATCCTAATTCAAAGCCAGCCTGAACAGTGGAGTCCATGAGACTCCTATCTCCAAATAATCAATAAAGAGCTGGAAGTGACTCTGTAGCTCAAGTGGTAGAGCATTTGCCTTGAGCTGAAAAGCTGAGGGACAGCACGCAGGCCCAGAATTCAAGCCCCACGAGCCTCCACCCCTGCCCCAAAGATCAATATTCCCTCTTTTTTTTTTGGGGGGGGGGGTCAGTCATAAGGCTTGAACTCTGAGCCTGGGCACTGTCCCTCAGCTCTTCAGCCCAAGACAAGCACTCTACCCCTTGAGCCACAGTGCCACTTCTAGTTTTCTGGTGGTTTATTGGAGATAAGCTCATGGATGTTTCTGCCTGGGCTGGCTTTGAACCATGATCCTCAGATCTCAGCCTCCTGAGTAGTTAGGGTTACAGATGTGAGCCACTGGCGCCCAGCTAGTCTTTAAAAAAAACAAAAAAACAAGACAGCCAGATAGCTATAAAGTCTTTTAAAGAAAGAAACAATATAGCTAGGTACAGTGACTCATAACTATAATCCCAGCTGCGCAGGAAGCCGAGATCAAAATTCAAAGCCAGCCAGGACAGGAAAATCCAATGAGACTCTTCATGTCAATGAACCAGCAAAAAGTCAGAAGTGGAGCTGTGGCTCATTGAGCAAAAAAGCTTAGGGACAGAGCCTGGGCCCAGAGTTCAAGCCCAGAAGCATACTAACAGTTTTGGCGTCAATTTTGAAGACACTTGCCAAGCTCTCGTCCACAGAGACCTGGTGGCCCTGAGTTCCCCAGGTTCACTGTCCCCGCAGAACAAAGCGAGTGCAGGGTAAGACAAGACCACTCGCAGCTGTCACGGGGATGAGATCTGCCCTGCACCCCCACCTCCACCCCGCTGTCAGAGACAAAGATGTGTGACCGTGGAGGATGCTCCTCACTTCGGGGTCCTCGTTGGTAAATGGCAATGAAACCTGAGTTGTAATATTTGGAACAAAAAACAAAAAGCAAACCAACAACCTGTACTCCAGGTTGGGAACAGAGCTCAGTGGTAGAGGGCTCCCCAGTTCAATCCCCAGCCCTACCCGAACAAAAAATAACACAAAGCAGGAAGACTGTGCCCCATTAAGGGAATGTGAGTGTCTCACAGTCTGCGTCATCTTTTCACATCAGCATGGCACTCACCTCCGGACACCACCACTTTGGCACCTGTGAGCTCTGGCCGGTCACTCTTAGTTAACTTCTGGTCCAGCCACTCGGACGCTCCCACCGGTGAAGGGCTTGAGACTGCGCATTGTGACAAAACCAGGACTAAATATCAGGCTGCAGGATGAGCGTTACTCTTACAAAAGAAACACACAACTTTCTATAAGGACGTACAAACCTATCCCTGGAGACAGACATTACTCATTACTAGGACATTTCTGTGCTCTGGAGTCCACGTTCTCTGATTATGGGAAGACCAGAGAGAAAAAGATCCTGTCTAGGTTTTGCCTCACTGGCTCTACAGCTTTGGAGAAGTCAGTTCATCCTTGGATTTGTCTATAAAAACCATGTAACTCAGCCGGGGGCCAGTGGCTCCCATCTGTCATCCTAGCTACTCAAGAGGCTGAGATTGAGGACTGTGGTTCAAAGCCAGCCTAGGCAGGAAAGTCTGTGAGACTCTTATCTCCAATGAACCACCAGAAAACCAGAAATGGCGCTGTGGCTTAAGTGGTAGAGCACTAGCCTTGAGCTGAAGAGCTGAGAGACAGCATCCAGGCCTACAGTTCAAGCCCCACAAGTGACAAAAAACAAACAAAAAACCCACATAACTCTAAATACAGGGTTCAAATAAGATAAATATATATATGTTCAAATGTTTATTATTATTGACATTCATCTATTATATTGAGTCACTTAAATATTCTTCTGATAGTCACTTAAATATTCTTCTGACAAGAAAGTTAAAAGTCTTAACATGTACTGAGTGCTGGCAGCTCACGCCTGTAATCCTCTCTACTCAGAAGGCTGACATCTGAGGATCATGGTTCAAAGACAGCCTGAGTGGGAAAGTCCATGTGGCTCATCTCCAAAGCCGGAAATGGAGTTGTGGCTCAACTAGTAGAATGCTAGCAAAAAAGCTTAGGGACAGCACCCAGGCCCTGAGTTCAAGCTCAGGACCTTCCCCACCCCCCAAAAAAGTAATGTTACTACGAATGTGACTGATGACCCTAACAGACTCTCTCTCCCATTCTCTTGATCACTAAACTGTCCTAGTAGCAAAGGTGATGTGAAATGGACATAAACTGTAATGACCCCTTAGCTCTATATAACCCTGGGAATGAGTGTCACCCGGCTTGAACTTCCAAACACTATGCTAGAATTTTACCCAGAGGTCGTCATCTCTTCCTCTAGCGGGATGTGTGAAGTAAAAAAGACAAGAGGAGTTTAACACACACTTACCCTTCTCTGAGCCAGCACTGCCTCCACTCGCCGCTGCAGCTTCAAAAGATGTTCCTCGGACGGAGAACACCTTCACTTTCTCGTCACACTTCACGGTGCACAGCGCATTGCCTGAAACACAACTGATTTGCTAAAGCAACAGTGCGAGGCAATAGCAGGAATATTCCTTTCAGGCTCAAGTTTTACTTCTTGAGCTGGTTGCTTTCTACCATGACCCAGTAGGGGAACAACAGGATCATCTTAAAAATCTGACAGGTAGCCGGGTGGCGGTGGCTCACACCTGTAATCCTAGCTACTCAGGAGGCTTGAGATCTGAGGATCGCAGTTCAAAGCCAGCCCAGGCAGCGAAGTCCGTGAGACTCTTATCTCCAATAAACCACTAGAAAACCAGAAGTGGCGCTGTGGCTCAAGAGGTAGAGCACTCGCCTTGAGCTGAAGGACTCAGGAACAGCGTTCAAGCCCAGAGTTCAAGCCCCTCAACGGACCCCCCCACCCAAGAAAAAAAATCTGGCAGGTGACCAGCAGACACCATGGCTCACATCTATCATCCTAGTTACTAGGGAGGGTGAGATCCAAGGATCATGGTTCAAGGCCAGCCCAGGCAGGAAATTCCAGGAGACTCTTATCTCCAATTAACTACCAAAAAAGCCAAAAGTGAAGCTATGGCTGAAGTGGTAGAGTGCTAGCCTTGAACAAAAAAGCTCAGAGCCAGCATCCAGGCTGAGTCCAAGCCTCAGGACCAGAAGCAACTGGGACAGCCAGCCACAGAAAGGATGGGAGCACCCTGTGAGGATGTGAAGCTGCTTTCTCCAAACAACGCAACCAATAACTGAAGTGATCCGCAATACCTTCCTGAAATGCGCATACACACGATCAGATGTGTCCCGATGTTTTAAGGATTTGAGACATTTCCTACAGATTAGCAGTCACTTGAAGGCTATGACTAAATATTTCCCCTCAGACGTTACTAAGGATAAAAATTTTGAGGGCTGGGAAGGTGGCTCAGTGGTAGAGCTCTTGCCTTGCATGCATGAGGCCCTGGGTTCGATTCCTCAGCACCACATAACAGAAAAAGCCAGAAGTGGCACTGTGGCTCAAGTGGTAGAGCGCTAGCCTTGAGCTGAAGAGTTGAAGGACAGTGCCCAGGCCCTGAGTTCAGGTACCACGACTGACCAAAAAAAAAAATATTTGAGGGCTGGGAAGGTGGCTCAGTGGCAGAGCGCTTGCCTTGCATGCATGAGGCCCTGAGTTCGATTCCTCAGCACCACATAAGCAAAAAGAAAAAAGCCAGAAGTGGTGCTATAGCTCAAGTGGTAGAGCGCCAGCCTTGAGCTGAAGAGCTGAGGGACAGCACCCAGGCCCAGAGTTCAAAGTCCCACGACCAACAAAAAAAAAGAAAAGATTAATCAGTGCTCGCTTTGGCAGCACATACACTAAAATTGGAATGATACAGAGAAGCTTAGCATGGCCCCTGCGCAAGAATGACACGCCAATTCATGAAGCGCTCCATATTTTAAAAAAGAAACAAAGAAAGAAAAGATCAATCAGCTAGAGACCCTGACCGGAATTCCTTAGCGCATATGGAAATGGAGAAGCAAAGACTGAGAATATTATCTTTAAAAAAGTTTTGCTTTTTCCAGATGCTATTTACCAACCATATGGAATAGTGAATCTAATTCTGACTGACCGCAGGACCAACAGGGCCTGTCAGGAATGCTGTGCCCAGGATGCATTAGAGAGAACTCCAGGTCACCACTCATCAGCAATTCTACACCAGGACTTTCCTGGAAACCTTTACGATGTCCACTTACAGCAAATGTATGGCTTGTTTAAAATACTATCTTCAAGCCAGGCACCAATGGCTCATGCCTGTAATCCTAGCCACCCAGGAGGCTGAGATCTGAGGTTTAAGCTAGCCCAGGCAGGAAAGCCGGTAACACTGAGGTTCAAGACCCAGGGCCAGTGCGCTCATGTGTACACACAGGCATACACATGCACGCGTGCACAAACACACACAATCTTTAAGTTTTCTTTATACCCTTACCTAAGATTTAGCTGCTTGTCTCCCTTGGGTACTCACCTGCATAAATAGTTCTTACAAATGTGTCAGGTGACTTGATTGCAATGATATCAGAAATTGGGGCAACATCAAGTTTAGCTGCTACTCTGGGCAACAGGTTCTGAAAGAGAAATGAACAGTGAGTCAAGTACATTCATGCAGAGAAGGCCAGGAACCCACAGTGGCATTATCCCAAGGCAGATTCTGCAGTTACCATGATCCACGGTTTTTTCTGCCTCCCATGCAAACTAGACACAAAGCAACTTTGAGATTAGCGCAGAGTACACTAGAGCTTTACAGCAATTAGAACCCACCTTAATTCACTATGCTAAAGTATGAGATATAGTTGCTTTGGCAGATAATCCATTACAAAGTATGACAACTACAGCCCATTGAATTTAGATAAAAACAAAACATTTTAGAAAAGTAGTAAAATCATGAAAAAGTAGTAAATTGGTTTGTTCCTCCCTCTCCTCTGTTCCTTCCTTCTTTCCTCCCTCCATCCCTCTCTTCTTTCCTTTGCCAGAAAAAGGATTATTTTATATATATATATATATATATATACATACACGTATATTATATAATATATACATATATATTATATATTTACTAACGTATATTTAAAAAAAAGGTGGAGCTGAGAAGGTGGCTCAGTGGTAGAGCGCTTGCCTTGCATGCCTGAGGCCCTGGGTTCGATTCCTCAGCACCATATAAGCAGAAAAAACTGGAAGTGGCGCTGTGGCTCAAGTGGTAGAGCGCTAGCCTTGAGCTGAAGAGCTGAGGACAGCGCCCAAGCCCAGAGTACCGGCCCCATGACCGGAACCCCCAAAAAAAAGGAAAAGAAAAAAGGTTTCAACAGACATTTCATCTTTTGTTGACAATGATGTTACATAAAATGATCAAAATTATGCTCAGCAAGGCAGTTAGTGTGCATGACCTCAGCCAAGCAGAAAGCACAGACAGGCAGGAGGATCAAGTTACAAGGCCAGCCCAGGCAGAAGTTAGTAAAATCCTATCTTAAAAACAAAACACCCCACCAGGTGGCACACCTCTCCCAGCTCCTCAGAAAGAAGCAGGAGCATCAATATTGAAGCCCAGCCCTGGGAAAAGCACAAGACTTGATCTGAAAAGCAAAAAGACTGAGTGTGGCTCAAATAGTAGAGCACTCACCTAGAAAGCATGAGGTCCTGAGTTCAAACTCCAGAACTCTAAAACCAGAAAACGATTAAACTGACCTGACTACCAGCCTACGTATTATGTGAAATAGGAAAGCTGAATCTCCACTGACTTCTACAAAGAGCTGACTCCATGGCACCTTTGAGCTTGGTGTGTGTGACACGGAGGCTGGCAGGCATGCTCATAACATCCTGACGCTAACACTCAAGTTCCTTTCCCTGTTCTGCCTCCATCCCTCTCTTAGTTGCTCAAAATTCTCCAGAATCAGCCTATAATTACTCCATTCTGCACCTTCCAACAAGCATGTCTGATCCCATTACATTAGCTTCCATTAGCATTCTAAAACTATTGTCCTGTTTTAAAACACTTTTAATATGCATGCTGAAAGACCCCTTAATCAGGTCTGCCAGCACCCTGAGGATAGTGTTTGGCTATCCTGGATCTATTAAGTGGCCCCAGTCAGACACAGACACAGTCTGAATTAATCTCCTTCCTATGACGTTTCCAGAAGGAAAGGTTTAGGTTTTCACTATCATTACCTACATTATATAGTAATCCCTTTCAACCACTTAAAAACAAGTTACTAGCTGGAAGATAGTTTTGCTATTCAGTTAGTGACAGACAGTGTTTGCCTAGCAAGCAAAGCAGCAAGGAACAAGCACTGGGCTCCTACTCAGTACCACAGAGAAAAGAAAAGAAAAAAAGAGCGATTTGAAAATATTACAATTTGGAGCCAGGCACTGGTGGCTCACACCTGTCTTCCTAGCAACTCAGGAGGCTGAGATCTGAAGACTGGGGTTCAAAGCCAGCCTGGGCAGGAAAGTCTGTGAGACTCTTATCTCTAATGAACCACCAGAAAACCAGAAGTGGCACTGTGGCTCAAGTGGTAGAGCGCTCACCTTGAACTGAAGAGCTGAGGGACAGCGCCCAGGCCCAGAGTTCAAGCCCCACGACCGACCAAAAAAAAAAAGGCACAAGGACAAAACTGAGAAATTTAAGATCTCACAGGAAAAGAAAACAAGGTTGGGAAAACAATTAAAATGTTGGGCCTGGGAAGGTGGTTCAGTGGTAGAGTGCTTGCTTCCCATGCATGAGGCCCTGGGTTCGATTACTCAGCACCATATAAGCAGAAAAAGCCAGAAGTGGCGCTGTGGCTCAGAGTGGTAGAGCACTAGCCTTAAGCTGAAGAGTTGAGGGACAATGCCCAGGCCCAGAGTTCAGGCCCCACGACCCCAAAAAAAAAAAAATTAAAATGTTATTTAAAATATGGGAAGGTGGCTCAATGGTAGAGCACTAGCTTTGAGCTGAAGAGCTGAGGGACAGCACTCAGGCCCAGAGTTCAGGCCCCATGACCAACCAAAAAAAAAGTAAAATAAAATATATGTATTTATTTATGTGTGTGAGTATACATATATCACATTATACGTATTATATATTATTATAGATTGGTATATATTAAGTATACAGCAAAACATTTTAGAAGATACTGTTTTTGTTGTTGTTGGTTGTGGGGCTTGAACTCAGAACCTGGGCAATGTCCTTGAGCTTTTTTGTTCAAGGCTGGCGCTCTACCACTTTGAGCCACAGCACCACTTCTGGTTTTCAGGTGGTTAATTGGAGATAAGAGTCTCACTGACTTTCTTGCTTTGAAGTACAATCCTCAGATCTCAGCCTCCTGCGTAGCTAGGATGAGGATGATAGGTGTGAGCTACAGGCGCCTGGCTAGAAGGTAGTTACTCACTTTTAAAAAATAAATAACAAACCAGAGTCACCAGTGTTTAGAGCCTAGTCCAGTAAGAAGCCCACTCCCTGCATCACCTCTAACTGTACAGGCATTGTTATTAGAATGTTACCTATGTGAATAGACAGATTATTTTTTGTTACACAAACTATGTGGGGTTTTTTGTTTGTTTGCTGGTCCTGAGACTTGAACTCTGAGTCTGGGCTGTTCTTGAGCTTCTTTTGTTCAAGGCTAGCGCTCTACCACTTGAACCACAGCATCACTTTTCTGGGTAGGTTACTAGAAGACACTCATGGACTTTGGCTGGCTTGAACCATGATCCTCAGATCTCAGCCTCCTGAGCAACTAGGATTACAGGGTGAGCACCAGCGCCCGGCTAAGCTGCATATTGTTTTAGTTTGGGAACTTCCTAAATCTCGTAAGGTTCAATATCTTCATGCTTTCATTGTCCTCTATCTTAGCATGTGTATCTTTTTAAACACTGACTCTGGTGCCTAAAAGCAAGTACTCCTGAGTCTGTGTTTGAAACCATGAGCTGAGGTCTCCAGCTGGTCCATACAGAAACAGAAAGCTGGCAACACAGCTGGTGAAGGACCACTGGGTGAATTCAGCTTCCCTGATGGGGCTTGCCCAATCCAAACGTATTTCCAGGCCACAGCATCAGCCTCTGTCCGGCCACCCTGCCCATCCACATGCCCATCTGTCACAATGCGGCAACCAAGGCCACAGTGCTGCAACCTATCTCATTAGATACAGCCAAACCTGTTCCTTGGTCTCACAGTCTTGGAGGTTGTGTAAGTCATCCACTGCAGAAACAACACAACCAGACAAGGGCGGGTCCACAAAGCCCCACACAATTAGGGAAATGCTAAAGCACAGCCACCAATGGTCATCAATGTACACAATGTACTTCAGTGTTCAAAGTGCAACCTTCCAATCTATTTCACTTCACAGGGGTATTCTACATATATCTGAGCACAGGTATACAAAGACAAATGCAAGCTTCCTAATTGATCTGGGCTAAGATGGACACTTCCACTCTAGCATTTTGCTGGGTAACAAGATCAGAGTCTGTCAGACTTTCCTGCTAGGCTGGCTTTGAACCAACATCCTCAGATCTCAGCTTCCTAGGTAGCTAGAATTTAGGCATGAGCCTCCAGCACTTGGCTTAAAAGCTCTATCTTTTTAAACATTGTTGTAAAAGAAAAAGGAGCCGGGCGCTGGTGGCTCACGCCTGTAATCCTAGCTACTCAGGAGGCTGAGATCTGAGGATCGTGGTTCAAAGCCAGCCCGGGCAAGAAAGACCGTGAGACTCCTATCTCCAATAAACCACCAGAAAACCGGAAGTGGCGCTGTGGCTCAAGTGGTAGAGCACTCGCCTTGAGCTGAAGAGCTGAGGGACAGCGCCCAGGCCCAGAGTTTAAGTCCCATGACAGACAAAAAGAAAAAGGAAACAAGATAATATAAGGAGGCCTGGGAATGTGGCTTAGTGGTAGAGTGCTTGCCTAGCAGGCATGAAGCCCTGGGTTCAATTCCTCAGTACCACATAAACAGAAAATGCCAGGAGTGGCACTATGGCTCAAAGTGGTAGAGTGCTAACCTTGAGTGAAAGAGCTCAGGGACAGTGCCCAGACCCTGAATTCAAGTCCTATGACTGGTCAAAAAAAAAGAAAGAAAACAAAAACATATACCTATACAGTATTATTAACCTCCTACAATGATTCTAAAATACTAGACTATACAGTCTCTCTCTATATATACATACACACATATATCCTTTTTGTTTTTTAAATGGTCAGGGAGGTTAAACTCTGGGCTTAGGCGCCGTCCCTCAGCTCTTCAGCTCAAGGTGAGTGCTCTACCACTTGAGCCACGGTTTTTTGGTGGTTTACTGGACTGGCTTTGAACTGAGATCCCCAGATCTCAGCCTCCTAAGTAGCTAGGATTACAGATGTGAGCCGACACCAGGCTTTTTTTTTTTAACATGAATTTCATGTAAGGAATTAGAAGTTAACCAGCATTCAAAATCTGCATTACCAGGTGCTATATCAACAATTTAGAAAGAAATAAAACCTTTCAAAAGAAATACACTCTCAAGCCAAACACCAGTGGCTCAAGCCTGTAATCCTAGCTACTTGGGAGGTTGGGATCTGAGAATGAATCGCGGCTCAAAGCCAGCCAGGACAAGAAAATACGTGAGACTCATATCTCCAATAAAATTAAAAAAAAAAAAAAGCCGGGCACCCGTGGCTCACACCTATAATCCTAGCTACTCAGGAGGATGAGATCTGAGGATCAGGTTCAAAGCCAGCCTGGGCAGGAAAGCCCGTGAGACTCTAATCTCCAATAAACCACTAGAAAACCAGAAGTGGCACTGTGGCTCAAGCGGTATGAGCGCTCGCCTTGAGCTGAAGAATACAAGGACAGCACCCAAGCCCAGAGTTCAAGCCCCATGACCGACAAAAAAGAAAAAAAAAACCACCAGAAAACCAGAAGTGGTGGTTTGGCTAAAGTTAAAGTGGTAGAGCACTCACCTTGAGGTGAAGAGCTCAAGGACAGCACCCAGGTGGAAAGTTCAAGCCCAACCCCAAAAAAAGAAAAAAGAAATATATTCTCTCTAGATTTATTCCTCTGATGTCCAAGCCCTCATCTCCACCCTTGGCGGTCCTATAGTGGGAGGGAGGGAGGGATGGCCCAAGCCTCATGAGTGCAATAGAAGTGCCCATCTACAGGGCAGCCAGCGGCCTGGGCCTGGGCCCTACAAACCCCACTGTCTCCCCAGGGTCCCCAGAACTCCAAGGCGGCCTCTCCCCAGGGTCGGTTTCCAAAGCTGTCCCTGTCTTTTTAACAATGACCAAAACATCGCTTAGCAGCAGCTATCGTTTGGAAAGATGCTAGAAATTAAAAATTAACACCTACAACACGTGGTCCAGATTGATCACTTTCAGGAATTAGAAGCGGTGATTTGCAGGTATATCCATCAAAACAAAAAGTGATCAGCTATTAACCTCTAAGCACGCTTGGAATATTACCATTCTCCTTGGTACCCAGTGGCATGGGAAGGTGCCAGGGGAACTAAATCAAGTATTCTGCCTCATTTCAAAAGACAAAATGCTCGGTGAGCAAACCTTTCACTTCCTTTTTCATCCGCAGTGATGGTTGTGACATGGGCCATTTAATGAGGATTACAGCCCACTTTGGATGATGGTCCTCAGCATAATTCTCTGGTGCCATCTTTCCCTGTCTCCTGATGGAAATTACATTTGCTATGGCTGACCCTAAAAAAATCTCTCACCTTGTCACACTTGGTTCCGGCCACTAAGCAAGACACTTCACCTCCAAGACGCGTGGCTGCGGTGATGGCATTTAAGGTAATCGGTGCTAAGGAATCATTTGAATGCTCCGCTATTACCAGAGTGCTCTGAAACCGGAGCAAGGAGACCTGGAAAGAGAGAGAACTAAATTAAAAGGGTAAAAAGAAATGACTGGTATCATAGGATATTTGCTTTTATTGTAATTGCCAAGCACATGGCCTTTAAAGAAAACTGGTGTGGATACAATATTTTACAACCTATTTGTAAAACACCCAGTCAAATGCAAAGCAGGTGGATCAGGAGGCTGAGATCTGAGGATCACCGTTCAAAGCCAGCCCCAGCGGGAAAGTCCAAGAGACTCTTATCCCCAATGATCCATCAGAAGACCAGAAGTGGCGCTGTGGCTCAAGTGGTAGAACACTATTCTTGAGCAAAAAAAAAAAAACAGAGAAAGCACCCAGGCCCTGAGTAAGACTCAGAACTGGCGTCAAAAAAACCCCACACCCAACAACAGCAATAACAGCAGCATATCAGGATGCGTGTATCTACTATTGTATCTATCATTTGTTATTTCATTACTTCATTTACTAATATTCATTTATTTTTCTGGTGCTACTAGTGTTTGAACTAAAGGCCCTGTACTTGCTAGACAAATGCTCTACCACTTCAGCCCCTGCTCCTAGCCCTTTTCACTTTATTTTTCTGGAGAAAGGGTCTTGAGCTAATGCCCAGGCCAGCCCTGAACTGCAATCCTGATCTCCATTTCTTAGACCTAGCATAGATGTGTGGCTTCATTCAGCAATAATGGTTGCATAGAGTCTAGTTATTTTTTAAATTAATTTATTGTTATTATGGAGGTGATATACAGAGGGAGTACAATGACATGGGTCAGGTAAACAGTCTCTACTGTTCCCTCCCTCCCTCCCAGTCCCTCCTTGACATCTCCATCCATGAGTTGTATAGTTCACTTTCATCAGGGTCCAGTGAGCTCCGCTGCTGCACTTTTGAGTCTAGTCACCTTTAAAACGCCATTCCTGGGCTGGGCATGTGGCTTAGTGATAGAGTGTTTGCTTAGCATGTATGAAGCCCTGGGTTCCATTCCTCAGTACTGCACAAATGGAAAAAGCCAGAAGTGACGCTGTAGCTCAAGTGGTAGGGTGCTAGCCTTGAGCAAAACAAGTTCAGGGACAGTGCCCAGACCCTGAGTTCAAGCTCCAGGACTGACAAAAAATAAAATATAATAAAATACCATTCCTTACTCAGGAGCTTACTCTCCTCATGTGCAAATTGCAAAGTATGAACTAGATCATAAGTTTTGTTGTTGTTGTTGTTCTTTTGTCAGTCCGTGGGGCCTGAACTCTGGGAGTGGGCGCTGTCCCTCAGCTCTTCAGCTCAAGGCTAGCGCTCTACCACTTGAGCCACAGCGCCACTTCTGGCTTTTTCTGCTTATGTGGTGCTGAGGAATCGAACCCAACGCCTCATGCATGGGAGGCAAGCACTCTACCACTGAGCCACCTTCCCAGCCCCTAGATCCTAAGTTTTTAAACTACCCTTAATAGAAGGGCTCCAGAAAGGCAAGTGTGGGAGCCAACTTCACATTCAGTAAGAGGGGAACCAGGCAAACAGGGCTATGATGTACCCTTGGCTTTGCTTTAACTAGATTAACCAAACATGTGCGGAGCTGCTTTACTCTTAAATTTGTTGTTCCTGTTAAGTAGTTGTGCACAGGAGGTACCATTTAACAAAGTGGTTACTGAATACAGTGCATCTTGATCAGTGTCTCTCCTTCAACCTTCCCTGACCCACCCCTTCCCTTACTCTTCTTAATTTTGTATTATACACAATGAATTTTGCAGGCATTCTCCCCTCTCCCCGTGGCCCTACCCCCCACCTTACATGCTCCCATTTCCTGGTGCTGATTTCACTGGGCTTTGACCTAGTCTTCCTAAATAACTCCACTATTGGGGCTGGGAAAGTGGCTCAGTGATAGAGTGCTTGCCTTACATGCATGAGGCCCTGGGTTCGATTCCTCAGCACCACATAAGCAGAAAAAGCTGGAAGTGGCACTGTAGCTCAAGTGGTAGAGCACTATCCTTGAGCTGAAGAGCTGAGGGACAGCACCCAGGCCCAGAGTTCAGGCCCCACGACCGGCAAAAATAAATAAATAAATAACTCCACTATTACCCGGTACTGGTGACTTGCACCTGTAATCCTAATTACTCAGGAGGCTGAGATCTGAGGATTGTGGTTCAAAGCCAGCCTGGGCAGGAAAATCCATGAGACTCTTGTCTCCAATAAACCACCAGAAAACCAGAAGTGACACTGTGGCTCAAGTGGTAGAGTGCTCGCCTTGAGCTGAAGAGCTGAGGGACATGCCCAGGTCCAGAGTTCAAGCCCTACAACCAGCCCAAAAAAAAAAAAAAAAAAACTTCCACTGTTTGGGTTCTCCGTAGAGTCTATTACTCTTCTGTTTTGGTTATAGTGTCCTATTTAAAACTCACAGGTGGCTGGGCGCCGGTGGCTCGCGCCCATCATCCTAGTTACTCAGGAAGCTGAGATCTGAGAATCATGGTTTAAAGCCAGCCCAGGCAGAAAACTGCCTGTGAGATTCTTATCTCCAATTAACCGCAAGAAAACTAGAAGTGGAGCTGTGGCCCAAGTGGTAGGGCACTAGCCTTGAACATAAAAGATCAGGAGATCACAGAGATCAGGCCCTGTGTTCATACTCCATGACCAAGAATAAAAAAACAAGCAAACAAACCTCACAGGGCTGGAGACATTAAGTGGTAGAGTGTATGAAGTATGAGGCCCCTGAGTCAAAACCCCTACACCACAAAAAATGAATAAGTAAAACGGAGTTAGTTCACAAAACCACTGATGTAAAGCAGGTTATTCTTAGTCTAGGTGGTCTAGGTCCTTAGTCACTAGATCACATCAAAGTATCACCACTAGCAGCTGGGGTTTTTTGGTTGGGGATGAGGGGTGCCAGTAGTGGGTCTTGAACTCAGGTCAGGGCCTGGGTGCTATCCCTGAGCTTTTTCACTCAAGGCTAGTGCTCTACTATTTGAGCCAGAGCTCCAATGCCTTATTTTTGCTGTTTAATTGGAGCTAAGAGTCTCGTGGATTTTCCTGCCCAGGCTGGCTTTGAACTGCAATTCTCAGATCTCAGTGTCCTAACAACTAGGATTACACTCGTGAGCCTCCGGCACCTGGTTCAACAGTTTTTGGGTTTGTTTTTTTCTTTTTGGTCAGTTGTGGGGCTTGAACTCAGGGCCTGGGCACTGTTCCTGAGCAATTTTTGCTCAAGGCTAGCACTCTACCGCTCTAAGCCACATTCCCAGCCCAAGGTCTGCTTCTTAACTCAAAAAAATAAAAGACTAAGGGCTGGGAAGGTGGCTCAGTGGTAGAGTGCTTGCCTTGCATGCATGAGGCCCTGGGTTCGATTCCTCAGCACCATATAAGCAGAAAAAAAAAGCCGGAAGTGGCACTGTGGCTCAAGTGGTAGAGCACTCGCCTTGAGCTGAAGAGCTGAGGGACAGCGCCCAGGCCCACAGTTCAGGCCCCTTCACCCACAAAAATAAATAAATAAATAAATATAATAAATACAAGGAAGACAGTGAAGGAACTTGGCAAAGAGCTCATTACCTAAATAACATCACAAGCAATGCAATAAACCACCGTACTTCCAAAACAATGTTGCTTTCATGATATTCCTGCCAAGGAGTCAAATCATAAGGGAAATACCAGCAAAACCTACATTGGGTAACAGACTACCAAATATGCCAAGGTCAGCTGGGCACCGGTGGCTCACATCTGTAATCGTAACTACTCAGGAGGCTGAGATCTGAGGATATCAGTTCAAAGCCAGCCCTGGCAAGAAAGTCTGTGAGACTCTTATCTCCAATGAACCACTAGCAAATTGGAAGTGGTGCTGTGGATCAAAGTGGTAGAGCTCTAGCCTTGAGCAAAAGACATCAGGGACAGTGCCTGGGCCCTTAGTTGAAATCCATGACTGATCAAAACAAAAATCAAAAAACAAAGCCAAGGTCCAGCCAGGTGCTGGACTGGTGGCTCATGCCTGTAATCCCAGCTACCAGGAGGCTGAGATCTGAGGACTGTGGTTCAAAGACAGCCTGGTCAGAAAAGTCTGTGAAACTTTTATCTCCAATTAACCACGAAAAAGCCAGAAGTGGAGCTGTGCTTCAAGTGGCAGAGTGTTAGCTTTGAGCAACCACGTTAGAGAGAGCGAATAGGCACTGAGTGCAAGCCACAGGACTGACACAAAAAAAGTCAAAACAAGATTGAAGAACTTTTCTAACAATGACTAAAGAAACACTAAAATTACATAGAAAGCATCCGTACAATCTTAGACCAGAATGAGAAAAATTTTGTATAACCAATATTCAATACTATCAGGACAACTGGCAAAATCTGAACATCTATAGACTAGAAAAGGGCACTGTATCGTTGATAAACTTCCTGACTTGGTCAGGAAGTGGCACTGTGGCTCAAGCAGAAGAGCACTAGCCTTGAGCTAAAGTGCTGAGGGACAGCATCCAGGCCCGGCGTTCAAGCCCCATGACCGACAAAAACAAACAACAACAAAAAAAACTCATGCTCTCAAATAGTTCCGAAAATAATTAAGTGTACCTATGTGGAAAGAAAAGAACACACCTCTACTACTAATGGCTGTTGAAATTCAGGGAGAAGTTCCAATAATTCTTTGTATTACTCTTGAAACTTTTCTGTAAGTTTAACATTATTGCAGCACCTAAAAAGCTAAAGAGGTATTACATGTCCATTTTTAGAAGTGTTTCCACCATTTTTTGAATGCTTGAAGTGCAAATCTCTAAAACATTCTTAATGACTTTAGAGCAGCTATGCCAGTAAGCCAGATTCAAATTTTAAAAATAAATCAAGGTCAAAGTCCTTGGAAAATCACGGTTTGGAAATACTGTGCTTGTACACTGGTTAACTGTGTGGATATTAAGAATTTTTTAAAGTGTTCCTTCCACTTTTTTTTGTTACTCTACAAAATTACTTAGTGCTAAAAATCCCCCACAACTATGTAAGACATGTAACCTGTCCACAAAACTGTTTTCTAATTATTATGTAAGTATATTTTCTATAACTGTAGGTCTATAACTGTTTATGTCTAGATATTCTAAGAAAGAACAATCTCCGGGACACTAAACTGAAGGATGTGTTTGTACTCTGTGGGGGAAAGAGGGTCAAAGTTGTCAAAGAACAGGAATAACTACCTAAAGGAAAAAAAAAAAAGTCCACAAAGTTGCAGAAAGACCAGTAGTTATGTCTTAGAGATAAGTCCCAACAGTGACTGGGAAAATACCTACCAATTCAAGATGCCTACCAATTAAAAAAAAAAAAAAAGTGGTAGAAAAGTTATAAAGCAGCAGCAGGTGGCTCAGGCCTGTCATCCCAGCTACTCAGGAGGCCGAGATCTGAGGATCATGGTTCGCAGCCAGCCCGGGCAGGAAAGTCTCTGAGACTCTTATCTCCCACTGGCCACCCAGAAAAAGCCGGAAGTGGAGCTGTGGTTCAAGTGGTAGAGCGCCAGCCTTGCAGCACCAGAAGTTCAAGGGCAACGTCCAGGCCCCGAGTTCAAGCCTAGGGCCGGCACACACGGGGGCGAACCCGGCCCCAGCCTCGGTCCAGCGAGCGGCCGGGCCCCGCGGGGGGGAACCCAGGCCGGGGCCGGGGCTGCGAACCCGGGGGACACTGGCCTCCCCGGGGTCCAACTCCCCTCAGATCGTGGCTGTGGCTCCCCACAACCGCGGGGAGCCCCCAGCCCCCGAAAGGGCAACGGGCCGCGGGGAGGCGCAGAGGGAGGGGTGGGACGGCAGCCCGCAGGGTCGCCCTGACCCCTGACCCCTGCGGAGAGAACTTACAGCCAAGACACAGCTTTTCCGTCTAGGGTCGCTCTGACCCCTGACCTCTGCCCCCTACGGGGTGACCCTGCAGACGCGGCTTTCCCACAGGGTCGCCCTGACCCCTGCGGAGAGAACTTGCAGCCAAGACAGCTTTTCCGTCTAGGGTCGCTCTGACCCCTGACCTCTGCCCCCTACGCGGTGACCCTGCGGTACAGACGCGGCTTTCCCATAGGATCGCCCTGACCCTTGACCCCTGACCCCTGCGGAGAGAACTTGCAGCCAAGACACAGCTTTTCCGTCTAGGCTCGCTCTGACCCCTGACCTCTGCCCCCTACGCGGTGACCCTGCGGCACAGACGCGGCTTTCCGTACAAGGTCGCTCTGACCCCTGGCCTTTGCCCCTGACTGGTACCCCGGAAAGAGTGAAGGGCTGGCAGCAGAAGCCCGGCCCCGAGCGCCAGGCCAGGCAGGGCCCGTGGAGACCAGGGCGGCCGCCGCGGGGAGCGCCGGGACTCACCGCCAGCCGGAGCCGCCCGGGAGCCGCCGCGCGCAGCATCGTCTCGGTTCTCGTGGGCCCGACTGACGTCCGCGCAGCGACGCACGCGCGTCACAGCAGCCCCGCCTCCCGCCGCGCACGCCAGCGCTCGCGAGACGCTGAATGAGGCTCCCGGGCCCATGAGAACGCGCAGCTCCCGCTCGCTCATTGGACGGTCGCTCAGCCAATGGGAACGCGGAACGCTAGGGGCTGGGGTTAGATGTGGGGCAGAGGTGAGGCGGCGGGGGCGTGGCTGTCCACACGGCTCCCCTGCTCATCTGTTCTCAGTATCAGCGCTGCAGCCGTCATGTGCCAAATCACACACAGCCCTGGCCAGGTGAGCGGAATCTGATGCAGAAATGCACAAGGTCCAAACGCGCGGGCAAACCCGATCGCTCTTGTTAAGGGGTTCAAAGAATTGGTGGTTTGGGGCTGGATTCTAGAACAAGGAGACCTACGGACACAAGGACCCCCCCAAGTAATGACAAGGGCAGGATTGGGGTGCTGCCCACACGAGGCAGAGCGGCCGGCACCGAGCTGCAGGTGAGCTTCGCGTGGGGGTGACTGAGCCCCGCCGGTCCCCCTTCCCCCCACGCCCCCTGCTCCCTGGCAGCTACAGCACACACGACCTGGGTGCACCTGCCCGCCACCTGCCCACTCCTGACCTTTGTATCTGCCGCATCCTCCTTCCTCCTAGACATCTCCTCCACTGTCCCCCGAAACTTCACACCCTGCTCCACCACAGAGGAGGAGAAAAGCCACTTTTTTTGCGGGGGGGCGCTGTCCCTCAGCTCTTCAGCGCAAGGCTAGCGCTCTACCACTTGAGCCACAGCACCATTTCCAGCTTTTTCTGCTTTTATGGTGCTGAGGAATCAAACCCAGGGCTTCATGCATGAAAGGCAAGCACTCTACCACTGAGCCACCTTCCCAGCCCGAAAAATCACCTTTGAAAGCAAGTCCAGCCGGGCGCCAGTGGCTCACACCTGTAATCCTAGCTACTCAGGAGGCTGAGATCTGAGGATCGAAGTTCAAAGCCAGCCTGGGCAAGGAAAGTCTGTGAGATTCTTATCTCCAATGAACCACCAGAAAACTGGAAGTGGCACTGTGGCTCAAGTGCTAGAGCACTCACCTTGAGCTGAAGAGTGCAGGGACAGCACCCAGGCCCAGAGTTCAAGTCCCACGACCGACTAAAAAAGAAAAGAAAAGAAAGCAAGTCCAGGCAGGGCACTGGTGGCTCATGCAGTATCATCCTACCTACTCAGAACTGAGATCATCAGACCTCAGTTCAAAGCCAGCCTGGGCAGGAAAGTCTGTGAGATTCTTATCTCCAGTGAACAACCAGAAAGCTGGAAGTGGCGCTGTGGCTCAAGGAAAGTGGTAGAGAGGGAGTCTTGAGCAAAAGAGCTCAGGGACAGTGCTCAGGCCCTGAGTTCAAGTCCCACAACAGACCCTGGATTAAAAAAAAAAAAAGCCTAACTGATACACTATAAAACAAACCTCTACCGGACCCCCCCAAAAAAAGAATAAAACAAACCTTTAGGCATTCACCCACAGTAAGACCAAAGGAAGATATTCTTAGGGGAGGGACACAAAGGCGCAGGGCCTGTATACTTCTGCTCATATAAAATACTTGTCAAAATGAACTCCAGAAAATGGAAACAAGAGATTTTCTTCCTAAATTGCTGATTTTGTTTTCTTTTTGTCTTCTTTGTTCATTCATCTGTCTTTGGGAGGGTAAGGGAGGCACAGAAATGGAGGGACAATGGTGGACAAATGCAGCAGTGGTGCTCACTGGACACTGTGGAATATGAACTACACAACTTGTGGGTGGGGACGGGAGGGGAAAACTGGGAGAGAGTAGGGAAAGGGATACTCCTTAGACAGGTACTCATTACCTGTCTTATGTAACTTCAACCCCTCTGTATATCGCCTTTATAATAACGATTTTAAAAGGGGGGGGCTGGGAAGGTGGCTCAGTGGTAGAGCGCTTGCCTTGCATGCATGAGGCCCTGGGTTCGATTCCTCAGCATCACATAAGCAAAAAAGAAAAAAAACAGAAGTGGTGCTGTGGCTCAAGTGGTAGAGCGCTAGCCTTGAGCTGAAGAGCTGAGGGACAGCGCCCAGGCCCAGAGTTCAGGCCCCACGACTGGACCAAAAAAGAAAACCAAAACTTAGCCAGGCATCAGTGGCTCACGTCTGTAATCCTAGCTACTCAGCAGGCTGAGATCTGAGGATCACAGTTCAAAGCCAGCCTGGGCAGGAAACTTCATAAGCTCTTATCTCCAATAAACCATCAGAAAAGCAGAAGTGGTGCTGTGGCTCAAGTGGTAGAATACTCACGTTGAGCTGAAATGCTGAGGGACAGCACCTAGGCCCAGAGTTCAAGCCCCATGACCGACAACAACAACAACAAATTTAAAGCCTAAGCTGGATCCCAGTGGCTCACACCTGTAATCCTGGCTACTCAGGAGTATGAGATCTGAGGATCATGGTTCAAAGCCATCAAGGGCAGTAAAGTCTGTGTATCTCCAAGGAAGCACCCAAAAAACGTTAGAAGTACAGCTGTGGCTCAAGTGATAGAGCACCAGCCTTGAGCACAAAAGTTCAGGGACAGCGCCATGGTGCTGAGTTCAAGCCCCAGAACCAACACACACACATCCACACAAAGAAAAAGCCAGCTCAAGTAGTATCTCCTCTATAAGACCCTCTACCCCAGGATGAATGAATCATTTTCCCTTCTGCCCGTCAGGTGAAAACCAATGATTACTGAATGTACACCCATGTGTTTCCCCAGGGGGCAGGGCCTACTCCACCCGAGCCTCTCCTCTACCACTGAACTCAAATCTGAGTCACAGGACAATGGAAGGAAGAGAGAAGAGTTCCTGAGATTAACAACAACAACAACAACACCTTTAAAAAGCATATTGTACTAAAAGCATATTTAAAACCTGGAATAGGAGCTAACCTCCTCTTGCTACCCGGTCCATGACAATGCAAATGGCATTAGGGGAAGCCATCTTCCCACCCTCATGCTTGGGGTGGCTGCCACTTCCCAGGCCCCGTGAATCAGCAGCCACGATGCTTGCCAGAGGCACCGTGCCCGGGGGACCTGGCGATTCCTGGCAGAGCAGGGCCAGTGCAGGGAAAGAGGTAGACGTCATGGCCAGATCCTGTAGCAAGAGAGCAGAGCGTCGCATACCCTGGAGAGCTCTGTGAAGAGCCCCCCAAAAAATGTGTGGCCTGAGAACACTGACCTGAGAAGACTTTCCTGTAGGTGTAGGGATGGCTGTTAAACACTGAGATCTGAGATCACGGTTCAAAGCCAGCCCGGGCAGGAAAGTCTGTAAGACTCTTACCTCCAGTGAACCACCAGAAAACCAGAAGTGGTGCTGTGGCTTAAGTGGTCAAGCGCCAGCCTTGAGCTGAAGAGCTGAGGGACAACGCCCAGAGTTCAAACCCTATGACCAACAAAAAAAGAAGAAGAAGACGAAGAAGAAGAAAGCTGGGGACCAGTGGCTCACACCTGTCATCCTGGCAGAGGCTGAGGTGTAAAGATGGCAGTTGGAAGCCAGCCCAAACAGGAAAAGACCATGAGATTCTTCTCTCCAGTAAACTACTGAGGAAAAGCCAGAAGTGGCACTGTGGCTCAGGTGGTAGAGTGCTAGCCTTGAGTGCAAAAGCTCAGGGACAGCGCCCAGCGCCCAAGGCCTTAGTGCAAGCCCCACAATCAACTAAAAGAAAAGGAAAAGAAAAGAAAAGAAAAAGACAAGAAGAGGACGGTTGGTGGATCACCCAGGTAGCAAAGCCATCAGGGGTCACCAGCCTTGTCACCCCTTCTCAATCCTCCCTCACAAGTGTCTTTGCTGGTCTCATGGCTCCTCTATGCTCATGGCCATGAGTCTGAGTTACGGTAAACTGAGGCCTTTGGGATAACTTCAGACGCTGGCCTTTCTCAAAGTAGCATTGCCAAAGGATGCTGGTCTCCTGGCACAACCCAGCAAGGGCAAACACTCAAGTATCTTGAAGATCACTAAAATATGACTTATTCATTTATTTATTTAGTCGGTTGTGGGTCTTGAACTCTAGGCCTGGGCGCTGTCCCTCAGCTCTTCAACTCAAGGCTAGCGCTCTACCACTTGAGCTACAGCGCCACTCCGGTTTTCTGGTGGTTTATTGGAGATAAGAGTCTCATGGATGTTCCTGCCTGGGCTGGCTTTGAACCAAGATCCTTAGATCTCAGCCTCCTGAGTAGCTAGGATTACAGGTATGAGCCACCGGTGCCCAGTGACTAATTTATTTTTTTGTGTGTTGATATTGAGCTTGGCCTAATGCTCTAATTTGGCTTTTTTTTTTCTGCCACTCCTGAGGCTTGAACTCAGGGCCTGGGCACTGTCCCTGAGTTTATTTTGCTCAAGGCTAGCACTCTACCACTTGAGCCATAGCGCCACTTCTGGCTTCTTCTGATTATGTGGTACTGAAGAATTGAACGTAATGCATGCTAGGCAAGCACTCTACCACTGAGCCACCTTCCCAGCCCTTGGCTTTTTTTCCTCAAGGCTGAATCTCAACCACTTGAGCCACACCTCCAACTTCCACTTTTGTGTAGTTCATTGGAGATAAGAGTCTCATGGACTCTCCTGCCTGGGCTGGCTTCAAACCTTGGTCTTCAGATCTCAGCCTCCTGAGTAGCTAGGATTACAGGTGTGAGTCACTATAGCCCACCCTTAAGGGTCTTAGATTTGAATGTACACTTGCGATGTGTTTGGGAAATGAACTCCACCCTTGCAAAGTCCTGCTTCAGAGGGGCCTTAGCATGCTGTAGCCACGAGCAGCGTGGGCAACACGGTGCAATCTGGGGATCCTGTGATTCCACACACACCCTAAGTTCTGTGCCTACTTCGGGGGAAATGGCGCCTGTGGTCTGATTCAATGCTTTGTGGGACCCAGGGCTAGTGAATCAGAGTGGACAGAGGTGCTGACTAAGTACCTGCAGGCGGGAAAGGTAAATAGTACCAGAAGATATGCTGATCGCAGCCAGGAATGAATCACGGCGCTTAGAGCGGAAGTTCAGTGCAGTGTCAGGG